AGTGGTTTTTGACCTTAAAAAACAGAATACAGAATATATATTTATATATATAAATATATATTGCGAAATAATGTATTAATGTATAACATTTTCTGTAAGATTGATGATTCATTGTATAATGAATATCTTTATGCTTTATAAAGTTAAAAATTCTTGATTAATAATAAGTTTTTTATTTTAGTTTTCTTATAGTTACTACACTCTAGTAAAAAATACGAAGTGCATGAGTTATATTGAACAAAAATTTTTCCTTTTATTCCAATTTTATTCAGCTGACAGGAAAAATATGAATAATTCATTAGGAAGTTATTTTTCTGTTGACGACATAAACTTTTTCTGATATTTTTTTTTCTCGGATATTCTTTATATTTATGATTGTAATCTATATGAAAAATGCGCCAATAACATTACAGAGTAAATTTGAACACATCTTTCAGTTTCATTATTTATGCAGATAGTTTGAAGTAACTCTTGTGACGTGATTAAACCAAGCGTACTTTAAAAATTGTTTTAACAGTCTTTCTTACTTCAGTTGAAAATTTATGCAAATTGTATTTCCTAATTAAAAGAAAACTGATTATACGAAAGTTTTACTTTTGGTTTTATTTCGTACTCGTTCATCAATATAGATTCTTAAACCGGCTTATTTTTAGATACTTTTAGATTTAGAAATATTAACGGTAAAACAAAGAAGTATTTTAACGTCACTGTATTTTTAATGAAAATAAAATGGAGGAATAAAAATAAATTAGTATATTAAATAACTATTTTTATTCTATTTCTTTTAGTTTTATCCCGTTACTGTGAAAGTATTAAATAAAGCTATTTTTTTATTTCTGCATTAGATTGATTCATTGTTTCGAGAATTTATTCCTCAATTCATAGAAGTGACTGATTCACTAAATCGTTGATTCTTAGATTCATTGATATTCTTATTTATTTATAAGATTATTTATTGATACACTGATTCACCTAATCGCACATTTTTCAAGGTACTGACAAATTGACTGGCTTAGGATTACTGATACCATAATTCTTTTTATCTTTTGTTCCCTGATTTTTGGTTCAATCAATAATTCATATTCTCTCTTGCTTCACTGTTAATGTCTCCTTTTTCATCATTACACTTTTTTATTGACAGCCTATTTTGCTTATTCATAGATAATTTTGTCAATTTATTTGTTGATTCCTTGATATTTATTTAAACAATAATTTCATCATCGATTTATTTGTTGATTTGCTCATTCATTGATTCCATGAATCATTGAATTCCGTAGTCATTGACTCATTCATTCCTTCATTTGATCATTTATTGATTTTTTTGCATACGAATTTTCTAATTAATTTATTTAGTGTTTTGTACACCTGCCCATTTGCTAAATAATTTTTTCGCTGAACCACTTATTTTCTGACTCACTGAGCCATTGATTCATTTTTTCTAACGTATATTAAGTCACGATTTAACTCATTTATTGTTTGTTTGATATGTTTATCTATTAAAATCGTGATTCGTTTTTGGATCTTAAGTCTTCTAATCACCATCACATTTGAATATACAACTCAGACAATAAGGAAACCGTAATTAATTACTAAAAGTTTACTACCACTAAACGTTTTAGCAAGCGATGAAGATTACATAAATTAATAATTATAAAAACTATGTATTACAATTATTTGCATTAATTAAAATTTGTATCAAATTTATAATCACATGTAATAACGCTTTCAAATATTTACATATTCAATCATTTTAATTACCTAATGACACTTCCAAATTAAATCATTAATTGATTACAAGAAATATGCAAATGGATTACAAGAAATACATATGCCTAACCAATTAAGCTTTTATAAAAACTGCCTTAGGGGAGAGTCGGGTAGCCCCGCCCAATTAAGGAGTATTGCTTATATTTCTGTATAATATTGAGTAATAATCAATATTTTTGTATGTTTCTATTGTTTTATCATCTAATTAAATAATACAAAAAGAATAAACCAAAAGAAAAATTGTTTAACTTAAAAAAATAGGAATTTAAAACATTTCTCTACTGTATTCAACACATTTTCAAAACTATTGTTTACCATGTTACTAGCTGCATAAATGCTTGAAACTTAGAAAAAAATCTTTTTTTTAATATAACCATTAATGTTCAATGGCCCATTGACTTGAAAAATTATTCCATACACCTGCTGGCCGGGGGTACCCGACACTCCCCTATATTAATTGAGTTTACAATAAGAAAAGAAATCATGCTATGCACCCTTATAATTTAATCAATTATTTAACAGAATTCACTAATGAATATAATCTCACAGACAGAGTTCTTCAGAAGAGCAATTCCTTATTTCCGTGCAGTTTTATTTTCGGATCATTTACTTCTCTTAAAATTTCCATTCTAGCTACTTAGTTGCATTTGTATTTTTTGCTTTATAGTTTAGTTTGGAAAACATCCAAACGTATCTGTGCTTATGCTTCCAGTTCATTATCTTTAAATTATGCCCCCGAGTATAATCCTTTCAAAATATTTCCTAAATACATATTCTTTATTCATCCCTATTTTGACAGTTTGAAAGCTTTAATATATCTTTTAATACTACTTCGGAAATATTAAAAATAGTTAAGAAATATTAATAGATAAGTCAAAAAAGAGCATTTTGATCTGTAGGATACTTACTGCAAATGCATTTTATAAGACTCGCGAATATTTAATTAAAAACAAACAAAAACGTAACAATTTATGTTGGAAAAAAAGAAAGCTCAAGTCATAAAGCGACAAAATTAATATGAATCAACTGAAGATAAAATAATAATTCCTAATTTGAATACATTTAATTGAAAACGGAGAACAATTTTGTAAGTATTTTGCTTATATTTGTAATTTTGTTTTGTATTTTCTAGTTAAGATAACCGGCAATCTATCTTGAAAGCATTATAACATTTATACAAAATAAATTGTATGAAATAATTCGGAATAGAAATTTATTAAAAGATACTTATGTTATCCTAATAACTTTTATATTAAAGAAACATATAATTTTGTACATGAAATACATAAATTTATAACTTTGCATGAAACATATAATTTTGTACAAGAGGAAAAGAAAATCTTTACTTGATTTTTGTAATATCCTAACCTCTTAATTCAATTTTTAAAGATTTTTAATTGCATTTTCAAAGATAAATGTACTCAAATTTAAAAAAAATTATCTCATTAATTTTAGGAAGTGAGAGGGACAGAAATATGAACAACCTTAGCAATCAATGCATTTTAATACATAAATGTTCGCTTTTTTATTAACAGGAATTGCTATAAACATTTATGGCATCGATTAACTTACATTCATCCTTTTCATAACCTTTTTTTTAAATCCTTAATCATTTGAACTTATAAACATTTAATTGAATTTATTCTTTGATTTCAATTTTAACAAATGATTTTTTTTTCTTTTCAGTCATAGTCATGTGTGCTTCACCTGATACAGTGAGAGATATCCTTCTTGCTGCCGAAGAACTGGGAATGATTTCTAGTGGAGAATATGTATTTTTCAGCATTGAGCTTTTCACGAGGTATTTTGTTAAGTTTTTTTGTTTATTTACGATTTCATATTTGTAACAAGAAACCTGTTCAAATTTTATTGGCTCTTGGCATTTCCGGCAAAATTAAAATTCCTAGTGCACTTTAGCATCCAAATAGAGTCTCGGTGCTGCCATCTAGTGTGGTAGAAACTAGACGTCCAAATTAACATGACCAATGGTATCTCACCCATTGTGGTGGTCCTGAAAGGGTGGATACCACCTCTGGAGACACACTAGGTCTGCTCATTTGCAAGACTGGTTGTGCAGCTCATTGGAAATAAAATTTAAAAAAAATTTTAAAAAAATAAAAGTAAAAAAACTTTTTTAAATTTTGACACCATTGTGACGACAGATAAGAATGCAACACTTTCAATTAAACTGCAATTTCTAATAGTAATTCATGAGTTCTTAACTACTGCATGTAGAAATTATCATGATATTACCGCCAATCGTACTTTTGAGCACTTCAGAATAAGAAGGAGATCCAAAATTGCAACTGTGCTGGTTGTTCGTATAGGAAATGTGCTGGGTATTTGTATTTTTAAAAAAAGAATTCATTGTTATATTATCGATAATTCGAAATTATAATCAATGCTGATCCTATCAGCTAACTGGTAAATATTTTAACAGCAACCCATTGCTTGAATGTGAAATGCGAATTTGGATTGAATCATGATTGCTTGAAACAGATTATTTTCTCATATTATCCCTAAACAGAAATTATCATCGATAGAAACTTTCACAAGTTTTCCACCAGTGAACGAAATCAAATTTGAATACGATTTCTGTTTCAGAAGTCAATACAAGTTTCAATTGCTCCCAGAAAACTAAAGACAAAAAAGTTCATCGCTTTATATTCATCAACTATAGATATTTGTCATTAAAAATTAAGACCGCTTTTCGATTTGAAGTCCGGTTAAAATTGCTTTTTTAATGCTAAAAAATATGTTTTGCTATGTTTAAACAAACTAAAAGACAGATAATAAGAAAGGGAAAAAATTAAAAAGCTGTTATAAACGACCCTTTAAATCGAATTAAAATTTTTGAGAATAAACTATCGTAAAAATCTTCTACCTCCAGTAAAAAACTCCTGACGTCCTTCAAAAGTGATGGAATCAATGTTTTATGTTTTTTGTCAGACAAAAAATTACTTTTCTCATTTTTAATTCCTTTGTAAATCGGAGTTTTTAAAATTTCTTTTACTTCATTTTTTTTAATTGGCATTACTTTATTTTAACATAGAAGAAAATCTAAGAAAAAAATATAAACTTCATTTTTGAATTTTTCGAGCTTGATTGATGAACCAAAAGTGTTTTTAGCTGTAAAGGCTTTATAGCTTTATCCTGCTTGACACCATAATTAGTTGTATAATAATTTTTTTTTTAAGTCAATTAGAAAATTAAGCTTATTAGATTAATTTTCTTGTTTAAATGTAACAGAATTTTATTGCTTAACGTAGCGTGTTATTGTAACGCTACGACACTTGCAGGTATCATATTGGTGGAAACTTAAAAATAAGTTATAAAATAGAAGTGATCTATTAAGCCATGGAAAAATTTTGATAAATTCTGAATCGAACATTTAAAAAAAAATACTATCTGGATAGCTATTTTTTATGAACTGATTTTTAACTCAGATTATGGTAAATATAATAGAAAGAAACCGCACCGGAATATAAAATAAATAATTAAAAAAGAAAAAGAAAATATGTCACGTGACATGAATGTATGCGTTGAAGAGTGACTTCAAGGTACTTAACCGTTTCGGAACACGGTAAAAAAATCTATTACTGCTAATTATATATTATAAACTTTGGTGTAATAAGTTCTCCTTACCTTAGTATTTATAACAGTAATACCAGAAGTATTTAATATCACATTCAATTAATCACTACGGGAGTCAATAATAGTTTTCCACTATTTACGGTCATCGAAGTAAGAACCGATATTAGTTCACTCAAGTAAAATGATTATATAAATTAATAGCGTCATTACCAATACTTTCGAGCCACCAAAAAGCCACCAGGAAGGGTGACAAAAAATAAAATGGTGGTGTGCGTCTTTCCCTTTTGTTGTTTTAAAGTAATTTATTGATAATTTACTTTTATCGTAATCGTATCGTTTTAAAGTAATTTATTGATAATTTAATTTATTGATAATTTTTTACTCAGATTGTTTACTCAGAAGAACAGGTATTCAGCTAGTTTACTAATATATTTATTTTAAAATAATACATTAATTAGTTTATTTTAAAATAATACATTGATACATTGCCATTGAGCTGAGATTTAGTCATTCTATTCCAATGAAATATTTAAGATATAAATTGATTTATTGGTTACGCATTGGATGCTATGCATTAAAATATTGTAAGTAGATCGGCCTACATCAGCGGTTCTCAACTTTTCAGTATTCGCGGCCCAGTTTTCAATCATAATTTTCATCGCGCCCCCCACTTGCTGTAAAATGTATACAACAATAATGTATATTGAGTATTTTGAATTCTGTCTTTAAAATATTTTTAACTAACTGCCAAAACAAAAGTAAAGTAAAAGCCAGCAGCAATTGAGATTGCAGAAACTATGTTTGGAGTTAATTTTTCAAAAGAATTACCGTCCTCTTTCAAACGATACTGTTGCTCCTCGAATTGGTGATACAGCTGAAAATGTAGTTTCAGCTTTTCTCGATGTTGCGTGACAAAATGTTTTTAATACAGTTTGATGAAGCATAATAAAGATGCTCATTTAATTGTCTATGTTTGATTTTGTGATAATATGTCAGTAGTAAAACTACTTTTCTGCAAATCAATAGAACTCAAAACAACAGCGGTAGCATTATTTGCTATTTCAAATGAAGTTATGAATGAGGCAAACATAGAATGCAAAAATTGCATCGGAATATGCACCGATGGTGCTCGTTCAATATCCGGAAGGTTCGAAAGCATACAAGCACTTGTAAACTTGTAAAAAATCGCCTCCATGCGTCTGGACACATTGCATGATCCACAGAGAAGCTTTTGCTTCAAAAGAAATGCGTCCCTGGTTTTAATATTGTGTTAACTACGGTTGCAACGATTGCAAATTATATAAAAATTAGAACCCTGAGATAAAGAATCTTTTCCGCTCTTTGGGCCCAAGGAAATCACTAAAAATTATTAATTTCTGTATGCTTTCTAAATTTAGTATGCTTTGATTAAGTAAGGTGGGTAAGCCAAAGGTGGTCAGTGCTCCTAACGTAGCCCGCCCCCCAAAGTAAAATTAAATTTATTTTGAATCATAAGACGTCCCTGCTGCATTGTAAATCTTGTATCTGAGATGCACAAGGCTGAATTGGAAGATATTTCCTTGAATGGTCACCACTCTATGAAGAGATTTAATTTTTTGCAGTTGTTCTAATTTCCGGGTGAGAAGATATTGTAATTTATTAAGTGTTCAAATTCTTAGAACTTTGAAAGTTTATTTCTTTTTCTTTAACCACATTACATTAATTCTAATTAATCTATCAGATTAATAGTTTTAAGTCGTGCAAATGGTGACCATATGCATGTTCCCGAGGTGGCCCGACACCGGTGCCATCTTGGGGACACAGGGGCCACCTTCGGAAACAAACGTGAAATCTATGAAAGAGTTCATTATAAATCATTACGTAGCATATTATTTCTCAAAGAGGAGGGATTGAATTGAATGCCAATTGATTTATTTCATTTTAAGCAAATATGGAACTTTGGTATTTTTTAAACTTTTATAATATTTTGACGTTCTCTGCATTTTAGCAGAAATTGCGATATTTTGCTACAAGTATTGTTTGCATTTTAAAGTAATTTTTCAGGTATTTTTTTATTTTTCTGGGAATTATGAGTGTTTTTGTGGTCGATTCTGGTATTTTCTTGTAAATATGGGTATTTTTATGCTAGTTATGGGTTAGGTGAGTTAACTCTAGTATGGTTATTTATTCTTGTTAGTTAACCCTTTTGAAAAAAATAACTCAGTAATAAAGATTAAAAGAATCTCTAGTGACTTCACACAAGAATTATCAATGTAAAATCAATAAACAAATTATACACTGTGAAAAAACAAATATCTTTTTCAAAATCGGGAAACTTGTTCCTACCAACAAGACACTTAAAGTGCCTTTTTAAAAGACGTTTGCCAGTCTAAATATTTTTTCTAAGGATAATTTGAGTAAGTGAAAAAGTGATTTCAATATATGGCCCACCTTTGGAACCTATGGGAAACCTTGGGCGCAGAAGCTACAATTTTGAAATTGTACTATAAAATAAATAAAATTTTATTTTACAATTAAACGTATACGTGATATATATTAGAGATAGGTGTAAGATGTTACAAAAAAAACTTCAGCCACACAGACTTAACCAGAAAATTAGGAAAAATCCTCAAAGCAAAGCCATTTTTGGCTCATTACCTTAAGTTTTGATTCAATAAGTTGTTTCACTTTAATAAGTTATTAAATATGTCGAAATGTATTTTGTTTTCTATGTGCTTGTGCGCTTTCCTTTCATACAGTTAATCAATTTTTTTTTAAATAATATTTTCTCTTGAATATTCTCACGCCACCTCTCTAGTGTGCTCGCGCACCCCTAGGGGGGCGCGCCCCACAGGTTGAGAATCACTGGCCTACATGATGTTTCATCTTCCTGAAAATGAGGTACAGAAAAGCAGTTATAGATATTTATATTTGTTATTCAACGAATGTGTGTTTATAAAATGTATTTAAAAACCGTATAAAACTGAATTTGTTTTACTTCAAAATTACTTTGTAATTATTATTGACACATCTACGTGATATCAATAAAATATTACATGAAATCTACCTTTTTTCGAATTATTTTAAGACATTAAAATGTATTTTAAATAAAAGTAATTAAACAAGGATTGAATGTATTATATAGTATTAAAAGATGATTGAAGAGATTTTCTCTAGATAAAAGTTAACGGTGATATTCGAAACTATGAAAGAACAATTCATCAAAAT